ATCCTTCCATCCATCCATCCACCCACCCACCCACCCACCCACTGCTGGATTTGTTTTTATTAGCATTAGTATAATAATACCCAAAATTAATCTCCACAGGTTCAGATGGAAATCTGTTCCCAGACAAAAAGCAGAAACATTTTTGTGAGCGATATCACACACAGAGCCCAAGTTTCCCAGCTGAAGATTCCCGTGGGCAGCTTTGCATTCCTGATTTAATCGCAGCCCCCACCCTTGTTTGTCACCTGAAAATATCAGCGCTGCTTATCAATAACCCCGTGTGTGTCACGCTCCTGCCAAGCATTCCAATCAATAAATTATCATTTCAGAGCCTGATTGTGAAGGTGAAGGGCATTTTCAAGGACATCTGGAAATCCTGATCACTGCTCTGCACTCTCTGATCAGATTCAGTGCTTTACAAGCACCGTGGCTGGAAAAGAATCAAATCAGGATCTCTGAGTGGAGAGACAGTGCCTCATCCTCTTCCTCAGAGCAGATCTGGCTGCCAAAAAACAAACAAACAAACAAACAAAAAGCAGAGGTGCCATTCACACACTGACCCTCGAGTCTTTCTGCATTTCCTCTATTCTTCACTCCACTGCAGCTCCCAAGCACAGCAATACATAACAAACCTCTCATGGCAGCGTGATGTGTACTGCACAGGATTTTCCTGACTGGAATATTTAAGGTAACATGTGATCCGGGTGGGTTTTGTTATATGGTGAGGGTTTTTTTTTTCATTGCACAAATAACTTAGATGTCACACTCTGGGAATGACAGCACATGGCAAGGATACACATCAAGCTGCTGAGGAGAGACAGCTAATGTTTATTTCTATGTTAAAATTGTTATTTTGACAATTCTATTGCTCTGTAGATACCCAACATTATTTAAATGTGTAGGATTTCATGTGTACACCCAGCTGGAAGTCTTCCACTTTGTCATACATAATATTTTATTGTTATTTTCCCTATCTGCCACCTTGAACAACTTGTTTAACTGCACACAGTCCCTTTTATTTATTTTGATTCGTTTTGTTTTTTCTGATATTATTTACAGATCCTTAATGACGAGCCAAAAATCTGCTAATGTAAAATGATGTGAAGAAGTAACCCTTGGTTTTGTTTTGTCAGTGTTTCATGTCTGCTTTTCATATCTCCACATGAGGAAGGAGTTTCAAGGCACCACTCTGAACTGGTTGGATCCCTGTGTCTTAATTCCAGAGGGAATCTTCTCTTGTCAAAAAAAAAGTGTAACTGTGATGGTGGTGAAGATGAGTGTCAGAAGTTTTGCACAACCTTCATTCAATCCTTCTGCTGCTCTCCACCAGTACTGCTTCCATCAGTTTTATTACTGATGAATTTCTGATGTGTGTTGCTAATGCTTAACCACAACGTATTAACAATATTTTCTGTACAATGCTTGTTTTTCTAATAGATCTCAAATTTTTCAATAGTATAATAAAAAAAAAAGCATCAAAAAACCCCCAAAACCAACAGCAAACAAAGAAAAATGTAAAAAAAAGGTAAGATAATTTGAAAATTGTGGAGTCATTTCTTGGCCTCTGATACTTTGCTTTTATAATGTGAACTTGTTCACTTAAATAAATATATTTAGAAATAAGAAACTTTGTTGTTTAGGATAAAGTTTCTCCTGTAATTTACAGGAAGGTTGTGTAGAAAGAAGCCCAAAAATGTTGTTTTCTCTGTTCTGTTTCACAGAGTCTGTGCACCATGGGAACAACATGAGAACTTCAAGAGTTTGAATATCTGAAGACAAGAAAGCTCTTGGCTTCCTGAGATTCCCAAAACACTGAGCTTCCCTGAGGATCAGCCTCCCCTGGGGACTGGCAGGCGAGGCAGAGCTGTCAACAAGGGCAAAGCACACGGAGGTTTTGACAGAGAAGCTCTTGTGGAAGCACAGAATGACCCCATCACTCATTTATTTTGCAGAACCACAAGCTATTTTGGGGATCTGCTGACTGAAGCTGGTTCAGACTGTCATGTCAGCTACAGCAAATGTTTTTAGGGAAATTAGGGTGATCTGAGGACCTTTCCATGAAATTCAAAGCACAGCTCATGTTCAGTAGTTCCATCCAGCATAACTCTTCTACAAGGACCTGTGATGTGAACACCAGAGGCTTTATAAGCAGCTGATTTTTGAGTCAATGGGCTGTAACACTTTTGAAATCAATGATTATTTAAGAACTCCTAAAACTGCACATTATCCAGCAGCCCTGCACATAAACATTGGATCTCTGCTGGCTCTCTGCAAATGGGCAGTTTGGATCTGAGATCTGAAGGCTGAGCGTGGGTCAGAACACCTCTTTTCTGGCCACAGCCACCATCGAGCTCTGCAGCAATTTTCTATTTCAGTAGGAGCTGGATACACTCAGCACTTTTCAGGTGTGGTGACAAGATCCTTTTGTGGATTTTAATAAATTACCTACTTAGGGCCAGAAAGAGATCTGCTTCATTTGGATTTCACCAATCCCGATGTTTACGTAGTTCTGGTTTTGATTTTTGGGTGTTTTTATTTTTTCACTTCAGAGTTTACAACCAGCTATAAAAGCACTGGTCTTCAGATATAAAGCTGCAAAGCCACTATCTATTCATTTTTCTTTGGGTGTCTCTGTCCTGACATATTTTGAAAGATGAAGTTTATGTTTGGATAAGATGTTAAAGAACAGCACATGCTCTGCCTTCAAACCCTCCAGTGATGCTTCTCACAAAGGATTTCCTCCAGTGTCTTTAGCTGACCTCCATTCAGAGAGTTCTCCTGTGGAAGTGATAAATTGTGCACACATGACTAATACCAGGGTGATGAAACCTTCCAGAAATCAGACTGGGTGGGCAAGACAAAATAACAGGTGCAAAGGATAGGTTGCATGAGTTTGTGATGACGACAGAACATCTTATCACATTCTATAGGGTATGTGTGTAGTGCTCTGTGAGACAGACTGTGCTTAGATCACCCCATCAGTTCTGTCCCTGTAGATTTACTCCAAATTACACCGAATTTGCAGCAGCGCTTGTTTCACAAAAACATCACAACCTAGAAATTTCTCCCCTTTTCTGACAGAAATGCTATCTCTGTGAGTCAGACACAGGACTGTGACGAGCCTCAGAAATAAAAGTCTCATAAACTGAACAACCTGCTTTCTTGAAGCACCAGGAGATTCTAATATTTGTCAGGGAAGAGTCTCAGCTTGCCAGGAAGCCACTGGAAAACAGAGACTAACAAAGCCTTTCATTTAAAGGTACAAAAATGCCATTGTAAGGCATAATAAGGGAACAACTTTAACTGTTCCAAAATACCTCTCAACCCACACACATCTCATCCACCCTGATCCACTCAGCCTGGGGAAACCTGAGACACGCTTCCAAGCACAACTCCCCTGTAGTTTTTCCAGTCTTGAATAAAACATCCTTATCAAATGCATCCCACAAGAGACATTCCTTTTGATGAGAAAGTAGCATCCCTCTTCTGGGTAACCTCTGTTTGTTTCCAGCCATGCATTTCAGAAGGAGCACTTGAAAGACTGGCAGAGAAATGCTGTGTTTCTGAAGAACTCAGATTTTAAATAGACACTGATAATATGAAAGGATTTGCAAAAGGAAGGGGAGAGCCATTGAGAACAGCTCAGACCCTGCAGCAGTTAATCTCTGGCACTCACAAAATTGTGTTTATATGCCTGGACAGCGTGACAGGAGCTTTAAAATGTGATGGTGGAAGGATTCATTTTGATTGCCTGGGAAAGGAGTGTTTCTGTGTGGGACAAGCTGTTAAATGTCTTCTCATCCTTTCTTCCTTCTCCCTCTGGACATCCAAAGTCATGCAAGGAGGCACCTCAGCATTTTCCTGTGGGAGTATGTTTAATGTTAGCCACGGAATCAAGCAGTGCCTGGGTGGAATTCTGCTTCCCTACAATATCTGGAAGTCCAGATGTGCAAACTTCTTCGGGAGAGCTCCCACTTGGACAAATAAAGGAACAAGGAAACTCAGCACTGCCCTTTCCTCAGGATGGAAAAGAGAAATCTGAACCAAAGGTGACACACAGATTGTCACCTGTGGTTACAGGATGGTTACAGGGATGCTCAGGGGTGCCAGATAAAGATGGGGCAGGAATCTGGGTGAAATAAAGGCTGCAGTGGGTAATTCCTGCCAGGGAAACAGGGCTGCTGTGCTCTGCACATCCTCATCAGCAGGCTGCCAGCCAGAGCTCTTTGGAGCTCACAGCAGTGGGGCACCACAGAATCACAGCACACAGGTTCATGCTCCAGCCTAGCAAGAGTGTAGCTCTTAAGAAAAATAATGAAAAAGAAGAGGCAGTGCTGAGACAGGATAAATAAGGAGATAAATCACTTTGCAATACAATACAGCCAAAACCCGAAAATAAACAATTACTTTAAATCATATCAAGCACCTATCACAAACATCACATTTATACAATTGATCCATGGGTAAATTAGCCAATTAATTCTGAATTGCAACACTAATGAAATAATAATTATCTGTTTACAATGGAATGGTACGAGTGAAAGTCTAGAAACAGAAATAAAGACTGCAGCAAAACCCACTCAGCTCCATCACCAGTGAGCAAGGGGGGAATGGTCAATACCAGTCTTTAACATCCAGATATTGCTGGGGAGGGGGAATAAATAAAATACATAAATAAGCAAGAAATCTATGGACTTTAAATAATAGAGACGGAGAAATGTTCTTTTAGAACACTGCAGGGTTTTGTTTGTTTGTTTGGTAGTAAAGAATTGCAAAGTGGGAATTTCATTTAACATTTCCAGAAGCTGGTTTGATTTTTTTTGTCCTTGCTTGGCTTTCTACCGTGAATTGTTTGCCCTGAGGGACTCCAAAGGGATTAGGACCTCATAATTACCAAAGCAGTGAAAGATGGATGGAAAAGGGTGGGAGTTTCAGTACAGAATTATTTTGGTAACTCATATCTAAATAAAATCTTCACTGAGATGGAGAAATGCACTGGGGTCTTCTATAAGAACTTTTCACCCTTGGCTTTTCATGTAAGAGCTGCAAACATTTAAGACAGAGCTTTAGCCCAGGTCTCAGGCTGGAGCCTCAGCAAGGTGGCTATTGGCTATTTTCTGAATAAAAACTATTTACTGTCTGTCTGGGTTTTTTTCCTCTGTACATTTTGAGGGATTTTTCCTCTTGTTAATACCTGAGGGGTATTCCCAGAGAAACTGCATTTCTTTGAAAAATCCCCAATGATCTTTACTTTGCCAGGTGCTTTAAGTTGTTAACAAGAGCAAGAACAAGAATCAGTTGTTTGTAACAGAATAATTCTGCAAACTATTAATTAATGAAACCCCATCCCCAAGATGTGTGGAAATATGAAATACCACATGTGACTGGCTCTATATAAATTTTCCCTCTATTTATAACCCAGGAACTAAAACTCCTGGGCAGTTTGATTCAGACAAAAAAAAAATCTTGCTTCAAATTGCCGGGTGGGTGTTTTAAAAACGAAATAGTAGAAAAAATCAGGAAGATTTGATCAAGGCATTAAAATATTTAGAAGTAGAGATTGTTTCCCCCTATGCACATGTGAGCATGTCCGAGTCCAGAGCTCTGCGTGTGCCAGGGCAGATTTTTGCAGTGCATGCTCAAAGGTATTCCTTCCCTTCCTTCCCTTCCTTCCCTTCCTTCCCTTCCTTCTTCCCTTCCTTCCCTTCCTTCTTCCCTTCCTTCCCTTCCTTCCCTTCCTTCCCTTCCTTCCCTTCTGCGGTATTGTCGCCCTACCGGGGCTCACGTCGTGGCTCCCAGGGCTCCAGGAGCGGTCTCCTCCCGGTGTCCCGGGATG